ACTGCCAGTCATTAGAGCAATGCAACTCAATTAGACGCCGCTGGGCTCCCAAAAAGGATGCAATGCAGCAAACGCAATATGCTGGTGCCGAAAAAACACTTTAATAGGTGCCTACATGCATGTGTGTGTGTGTGTGGCATGGGGGTGTGTGTATGCAGTCGTGCACATTTGACACCATGAAATTGAGTGAGCTGCACGACTCGACAGTCTACACTTGCAAGAGGCAAAGGAGCTAGCTACACACATACATATGTACATAGTTTCTCCGGCTTAGTCACGATTTGTGTGTGCTGAATAAATGGAGAAGAGCGCCTCAATCGTATGTATATGAGTTATCACCTCGAGCACATTGATTTATGCAGTCGCCGAGAAAACGACCCGCATGGCTGCTGAGATAAGAATTAATTGGCAAGTGCAGTGCGCAAATAAATTGCATAGCCATGCAATAGGCGGGGGTACAGAGGGATGAATCGATGCATGAATATAGCAACCGGTCGCCGGCAGCCGTCAGCCGACAGCCGGCAGCAGGAATATGCACTACTGTGGCCGCAATCCACCAGAGCAGCAACAACCTGCATTTGCAATGCTAGTCCATGCTGTGGGGCAGCGGCAGCCCTTTGCTGCGCTGCGCTGCGTTGCGTTGCGTTGCTCTTAATGTAAATGTGACAAATGTTTTACGACTGGCTGCGCCTGCATCGGCGATGACTCCTGTTGACTCTGGGCAAACACCTGTAAATGGGTTTATGCCACAGCACATATAGTACAGTATACATCCCAACACGCACATACACAGACACACACACACACACTCAGATAGATACACCACCACCAACTAGCTCCGTCAGCTTGTTTGCATTTCACGCATATTTTAGCCTGCTCTGGCCCCAGTTTTCATTTGCATCCATTTCAGTTGGCATTGCATTTTTGTCCACATTTCGGGCACGCAAATCTCTACCGAACCCACCTGCTCACCTGCTCCCCACTACTAGCTATCTGTGTGCAGCTTTCAGTTAATTAATTGCTCGGCTACCTTTCATTGTACCTTAGTATTTCAAGGTATTTACACTAAATGTGAAATATTACGCAAATCAAACTTTCGAAAGTTACGTTGATTATTAACACTCATCAGTGTTAAGAAAATGAAATAGTAAATTCATATTGAGCATTGATTAAAGCCCGATCAGAGGCTTGGGCACCTGTCGCCCGCATTGGTCGCAATTTCCTGACGTGAGGAGAGAGAGATCAAAGCAAAATGCAATTTCCGATTAAACGCGCTGCTCCACTTATTCTTTTTTATGCCATCAGGCAGCAGGTGCATGCACCCATGTTTTACGGTCCAGCCTCATAGCAGTCAAAGGGAATAGCAGGCCAGTGAAAGGTATACGGACACACACACACCAGCCACACCAGCAGAAAGGCATAAATATAAAAATGATGACGAAGCACATCAATTCCAGCAGCTGCTCACAACTGAAGTCCTGTCTATCTGACCACGACCCATAGAAAAGAATATGCTTGCCAGGTGTACGGGATTCGTTATTAACTCCCTTGGCCGTCACTCAAACAGTATAAGATTCCTGTATGCACCAACACACACTATCTTTGTGCCTTATTCACTTCTGGTTAGCCTCGATTATGCAATTTCCTTTCAAACAATTCGATACGCCACTGCACTGAGAGAAATTTTAAATGCTTAATACTATAACTAATTAATCTCATATACATGTACATACATAAAATAATACAACAAATATGTTTTCTATTATTCTTACTACTATTACTATTTTGTCAATATAAAAGAAATACAAATTTAAATTTATGTAAAAAAAAAATCATATTTTAATCTCTATATATAATAATTCTCGTATTAACTATTTTTTTTCCTTCAAATCCACAAAATATGTATTTAAATAATTGTATATTTTTTCTAGCAAATTCTATTTATTTCACATAAATATCTTGTTTATTTATTTTCGATGTAAATACAAAAAATTAATAAGCTGATTTAATATCGGTGTCCCAGCATTTTTTTGCTCGTCAACCAATATTTGATGTTATCAAAAAACTTACACATTCTAATTATAATTATTGAATACAGGCAAAAATCGTACACAAACATCGAAATACAAAGAAAACTAAAAATGTTTATAATTTATTTATAGTTAGCATCACTTTTCCATTTGGATTTGCAGCACTCGTAGTTCGATTCAGCTTTTCGTATTATTTTAGAACAGTCAAAGTAAAAAATATAAATATATCAATATGACATACGTAAATACCAAAATCAAATTGCACAATTTATATACATATATAGAAACACATAAACACATTTTGGTTGATATTTTTTGTGCTGGTTATTATTTTGTATGGGGATACATATCATGTTTTATGTGCAGCCATCGCATTTTACTTCTCGTTTTTTTTTTTTCTTTTTTTTTTTTTTTTTTTTTTTTTTTTTTTTTTTTTTTTTGGAGATGTGGATGCGGGACAGCTTTTGTTCAGTAATAAGCCTCGCACTGCATCTCTCGGCGCCAGTGCGACCAGTCCGCACAGCCCCGTGTTTTCGCCGTTTGCACGAATCCTTTGCCGGATGTACAGTCGAGCAGCAGAGGCGCGGCATTAACACCCGGACACATGTAGAATCGATTGGGATCCAGCGTGGCCCATGGCTGGTCCTTTGCGTGCGCCGCGCTGCCGTTGCCATTGCAGCTGGACGCTGGCTCCACTGTGGGCCGACAGGCTGGCCACTGGTCATAGGGCAGGCAGCCCAGATGGCCGTGGCCATTGAAAAAGCCCCGACCCTGCGGGCAATGCAGCTGCAGGGGCATTTGGTCCGCCACAGAGCATACGTAGAATATGTTGGGATTCGGATCGCCCCACATGTTCGTGGCATGTTTGCATGTTGCATTCGTGGCCTCAGCGGATGCGTCTGCAACCCGCAACATCGCCATCATAATCATCATCGTCATCATCATCATCATCGTCATCGTCATCATCGTCGGCATTGCATATCTGTGATGCAGCCTCACTCGTTTCTCGGTATTCCATACATTCCTCATAAATAATTTCATCGGCAACTTTTTATGGTCACAACACTGTCACGAATTCCCTTTGTATGCGCCGGTATTACAGTTATTTTGTTATTATTTTACGTCTCTATAAGCAGTGGTATTTGGTTCATCAATGCAATGCAATATATGAATATGTGATCGATCTGCTGCTATCCTTTACGAGCACGTTTTCCCAGTGCGGCACAAAAACATTGACTGATTGATATGGAGCCATTGCCATTTATTTTTATACTCATTGCAGTATTTTCATTGCTCTTGCTTTTATCTTCTGATATTCCCAGTGTCACATTGTCAAGACTGAAGCTCTGACGTTCGTTTGAGTCGCTCCCAATATTTCATTTTGTTTGTGTTCCAAATTGACTGATTAGACTGTAAGACAGAGTTCAAAGTTCGTAGATTGAATGCTCTATCGAAAGGGTTCATTAAAAAAATTCGAATTATTTTCAAATAGAATTAGTCCCAGGTTGTTATCTAATTATGGGTTTTCTTATGTGTATTTAGTGTAAGTCAAATTGTTATAAATTGAATAAATAAGCCATTGTCAAATCGTAATCAATGCATACTTTTAATGATGCTCAAAGTAAGTAAAGTATGATTATATATAGGGGAAGTATAGCTAAAGGAAGAACTCTATGTATATGTCATTTTCTAATTATAGCCAACTATGTAGAAACCCAAATGAGTTCGCAAAATAGTAAAGTTGAAATTTACTTATACTCTCACCGAAATATTTCTTGCGCACGCTATCTCTCCATTATTCTTATCTTATTGATCTGTTTCTATAGCTATTAACTTAGTTCTTGGAATGAGCTGAAGTGCCAGAAAATAATCGCTTTTGCATATACATAAATACAAATATATAAATAAAACTAAACTGTAAATGATTGCAAAGCACTCCGCAAGCATTTCGCTTATTCTACTCAATGACATATTGCCCGGGGTCTTGAATTGATTTAGTAGTTCCTATAAGTGTCTTTTGGAGTCGAAATTCCAATCAATGTGCGTCAATATGAATTCATGTTTAATTTACGGCGTGATTCACAGTCACTAAAATGAAATCAACGTGAAATTCGACTACCGAAAGCAGAGTAAAACTGAACTGAATATTAAAAAAAAAAAAAAAAAAAAAGAATGAGAAGAATACAAAATACAGGCAAAAACAAAAACACAAAGGTGACACGGGCCTTATCAATGCGATAGTATAACATTAATTGGCTTTCAAATGAAGCCAAATTGGAAATTACTGCTGCAGGGCAATCAGACAAAATTTAATTACAAACTCCAGAGCAACATGACAAGCACACGAAATTCCTCGGCGTGCAGGCAGGCCCTCTGCAGGTGCAGCTGCTGTCAAAAGTTCTAATTGATTTCGCTTACAGCTGAATTCTACACAGCGGCGGGCCAGCAATCGGGCCCAGATGCGGTCTTCGGCCTAGGCCGTATTACCTGCAAGAAAAAGTTCTCCATTTGCTTTCGCTGAGTTTTCTTTGTTGTTGAGTCACGTTGTCAATTGAACTTCTTTCCGGCGTTCCGGCCTCGTCGTTGTTCCTGAAGTGGCAGCCGGCTCAGCTCAGTTCAGCTCAGTTGAGTTCAGCTCAGTTCAGTTCAGCCTCCACGCGACTCGACTCGACTCAGCTCGGCTCGGCTGGGCTCTGTGGCAGCCACTTTCGCAGTCTATTTTACGCGCACCAAGTTTAAATAGGGAAACTTCTGGCAGCAAAAGTTGACAACATAATCGACATAAATTCCAATAGGCCATGTGGCCTCAAATTCTATTAAAACTTTACCCACAGCACATGCGCAGCAGCTGACGAACGAAATTGTCTAATAAATACGCAGCAAACGGATTCTTATTTAGGAATTTACCAAGACACTTCAAATGATAACTGTGAAATAATAAATAATTTCAGCGGAACCAAAAATTGAAAAATGACTGACAGCTATCTGCTTCGTTGTGCCTCCGATAAGCGGCCCACGGTGCGTATTAGCAATGTGCGGCATCAATCGACCATTGTCAACAAGACATTGACGAGCTGCTATCAATTGAGGTGCGAGATAAGTCGTGCGATTATTTGATTCATTTTCGGTTGCTTTTTGTTTTCTTCAGAAGTTATAAATTTCCTAGCAAAAGCGTCAAGTAAACTTAGTCTATTTTTCAGTGTGCAATACTCAACATGCTAAAAGGTGAAGTTTACAAAAAAAAAAAAAGTTTAAGTTACAAAAAGTGCTAAGAACTAAAGGAATACAAATTGATCAAAAATTTAACTTAATTGGAAATCAAATTAAAAGCATATTCCTAATAACCGTTTACTTAAAATGAAATATAATATATATAAATGTATATTAATTTACTTTACTCATATGTGAAGATAGCACAAGTTACGTTATTTATAATGCCAAAAACAATTTATATACATATATTTAAAAAAAACTGAAACTTTCCGATTAGCAAATATCCAAAGCATTTATATTGATTTCCAGTTAAAATATATACATTTTAAAAGCAACTTTATAGCAATCAAACCTCGTCAATGACACAACTCTTATTTTTATGTGAACAAATCAACTTATAAAAAAAAAAAAAAACGGAAACTTCGCTGTTAGCAAATAACCAAAGCATTTTATATATTTATATATTATATATTACATATTTTTAGTTAAAATATGTAAAAACAGTTGAGTCTACATTATTTGTACCCAGCTAAATCGAAATACACGATAAAAAAAAATCTATCCCCTTGAAAAAAAAAATCGTTCTCCACAATTCTCTATAACTCGACTTTCTGTATAAATCGGAAAAAGAAAACGGATCGCCTTGTCATATCGAATAATCGACACTAGACTGTATTAATAAAGACCTCAGACACAATTCTATCCCAACTCCATTAATACAGTTCTTATTCTTATGTTAAAACATCTGTTTGTTTTAAGCTAAGTTCTTAACTTAATCAACTTCTGCATATGCCAGTTACAAACTAATATTTTGACAATTATAAACTCTTCACAGTTATATCAATATTCCTTGGCCTCTTGGCGCTCAGCTGCGCTGCCAGCCTGTACTTGGACGAGGTCTCCACAACGACCTTGCCGGCCACCTGCTTATTTGAGGACGAGATGTGGGGCGATGAAGATATACGCAAATTCTACTTCTGTTGGGACAATGTGCCGATAGTATCGGAATGCGAAGAGGGCTATTACTTTGTGAAGAATGCCACGGATTCCGGCTGCCTGCCCGCAAAGCTAATGAATCCCGCCTGTGTCAACCTGGATGTGACTGTCGGCCCCTGCACGGGCAGCAATTTGCTGCAGCCGCAGGTCAGCGCAGTTCTAACCAATTTCTGGCTTTGCCGCGAAGAAGGTGCCGCGCCCGTGGAGCTGACATGCCCAGAGGACCAGGTGTTCATTAAGCAGGATGGTTACCTGGGCTGCTTCGATTGGCAGACATATCGTTCGGTGCGCGGCTGCCCCGCCCAATAAAAGGTTATCGAACGACGATCCATGCTGTTCGCCGAGCATTTTTAATTGTATAGCCATTCTATTTTTTCTTGAAAGCGACCTTATCATGATTAAATATTACTAACTTGAATGGAAATTATTAATTTTAAGTTGATTACAAAATAATTAACCATACTACTGATAAGATACAGTGGATCAATTAACGCAGCTCGATAACGGTAGCTAACTGATTAAACAAGAAAAACAATAGAAAATGAAATTTCCGGGCAAGAGCTAAATTACAGGGAGACCAGACCACAATGCAGGAGGTTAAAATGAAAGCTTTTTGCAAGAAAAATTGCAAACTGAAGCGCAAACACATTTGCGGCATATGTATTCGTATGTGTGTGGGTGTGTGTGAGAGTGTGTATGCCATGTGAGCTAGCAAAAAAAAATGAGAAAAAAACAATTGTCACCGCACATTTGAACCTCAACAAAACAACACGAAATGGCAAATTGCAGAGCAGAGAACTAAGGGAAGCGGTCAACCTGTCTCGGTCAGCAGACATATGTATGTCTGAAATAAAATACAATTGCTGTTGTATTTGTTTGGTGTCCGTTGTGTGTATGTGTGTGTGTGTGTATTTTGTGTCAACTTTCAGTGAGCTCAAAATGAGTTTTAGCTTGAACATTGAAGCGCATTAGTTTTGTTAGATTTATTTAGATTGTTTCTGTGTGAAATAGGAAATAATATTTTGTGGGAATGCCAGCAAGGTGAGTAATGTTTGTTATTGACTCGAAAAAAAAAATACTAGAGCAAAACACGTGTCTATCTTATCTAACGTGCAGCTGCTGCTCTTTTGCACTTTCTTCTCATTTTGTTTTCTTTTTTATGGGCTTGTTTCAAATATCAGCTGACTACTTTTATGCATTATTACTGATAATAACATCTGGTCAAATACATTTCTATGCGCCTACAGTGAGCGTGAGTAGCAAGGCTTATATAGGTCTTATGCAATGCGCGCCTTGATATATTTCAGTTATTTGTACAGCGGGAATCTAAACTGAGAGCTCTATGGCCTGATATATTCAGCCTAGACACGATTTATTTCAAAGGAATATTTAACTCATCAATAGAGATATATATGTATACAGCATCAATATAGCCTGAATTTTATAATTTCCATTCCATTCAGCTTTCAGCTGCGGGCGGAGAAAGCGACCAAAGTACTCCCTCACATATATTTACATATGTATGTATATATGCTGAAATAGAATGTATAGCGTCAGCACAATTTGCTAGGGGTAAGCAATTTGTTGTTAGCCGTTATACACATAACTGTAGCATGACTCTGAACAGTTGCCTCCTCCGAGTCTCACGGATAAGTACGCATTTAGTTACACAACGCCGGAGACAAGATGAATCCAACCGAGGGCTAAACGTTCTCTACATGCGACTCTATTGCCTAGGTAATAAATGCCCGACTACGATACAGTTCACAGCACATGCTTGGACACACACATATACGCATATGTGTGCGTGTGTGTGTGGAGTTGAAGTGTCAGTGACACGAAACTGCTGCAAAAGCGCAACAGCCATGGTAACTGCGCCAGTGCCCCCAAATGAGTTAGTCAGGAAATTGCATTATTTGTCTTTGGCTGTTGTTGCGGGCAAAAACGTTGCGCTGCTCCTGCGCCACCCCTGCCCCTACCCCTTCCCCCTTTGCCCCTACCCCTTGCTTTGCGCCTGAGGCCAAGTGCTGCCCAGTTTTAAAACGGGCTCCGGCTATCTCCGTTGCGACACTCTGCTGTCACACATGCGAATTTCAAATACGCTCTCCAAGTCACAGCAATTTTTCTGCACCATTTCCGACTGCTGGTGCAGTTGCAGCTGCTATTGCTGTTGCTGCTGCTGTTGCTGTTGCTGTTGCTGCATTTTAATTGCTTGGCTTGGTGTGCCGCCCGGGCCATTAATCCTGCACAAGTTGTGCACTGGAGCTATGAAAAGGGATTTTTAAAGTCACAATTGTCGTATGTTATCAACACACACACACACACAGACATACATTCATACACACACCCTCACACAGTGTGAGTGTCCAGTCGACTGTCGCGTCGAGAACTTGGCCTGTAGTTAAGGGCCATGAAGCTGTCGCAACGGTGCTCAGATTTAATTGAGTTTGCAATGGTTTTGCGGCCTGAGCAACTCGAGAGTTTTGCAACTTATGCATTTGAATTGCCGGCCAACGAGCTGCCTGAACTTTGGCACAACAGCCAACAGCCAGCAGCTAGAAGCCCGGAGCTAGCAGTGCGCAGTCAACGGCACACAACTTCCGTTTCCGCACTTTGACGGACACAGGTCAGCGCAGTTGTTATTTTAATTACGCTTGTGTGTGTGTGCGTGTGTATGTGAGTGCCCGAGTGTGTGTGTGTGTGTGCGTCAACACAAACACATCTGCCTCCGACCGGCGCCACTGACAGACACGGCGTATACGCAATGCGCCTAGAAGTATGCAATAATATTTCAGCTGCTGCTGGTGCTTTGAGCTATTTGCACGGCACTTCCTATCGAATAGCCATAATTGGCATTTTTTCACCACTCGGGCGGACTCTTCATTTTTCTGTCCTTTTTCCTTTTTCCTGTTTTTGCCTGCACATTCCGTTCTGGAGCGCTGCGACAGCCACTACAGAAGTGAACTTAAGCGGCACCAGCCACAAAACCATCCCGCTGCCCGCAGTTACTGAGACAGGAAGCGCCGCCCTTATTGGGTCTACTCTTTGGCTGATTCTCGGCGTGCGCATTCCTTCCAGAGGACATACCAGAGCGGGACTTGTTTGGCTTGGGTGCTCATGCTGCTCGCTGTTAAGTTGGCTTAAACTTTTCCACTTGAATGGCAACGGAAGGTTTTATGCTTCGCAACCCCTCCCCCCCCCCCCCCCCTCCCCACCTTGCAGCAACCCAGTCTGGTTGCCACATTGTGTTGCAGCGGCGCATGAAAGTATGCAGCATGAAATTTGCTGCGCTGCAACAAATAAATATTTGACCCAACCACCCGTCCCTTGATGCCCCTCCTCGTGCCATCATCTCGGCGCCTTGCATTTGTATTTTATGGCGCCGTTGAATTTATACTTGCACTTAACAAGCGTCAACAACAACAAAGTCCACGACCTATACACGCCACCGATCAACTAGGCAATACCCTGTACCAATGCCTGAATTAGCTGAATTAGCAAACTTTCGATGAGACGGCACAGTTAAATTCGTATTTGTTAAACATTTTTAAGAAATATTTATTCAAAAAACCATTAAGTCGAGCATACCCTATATAGCTGACTACAGGGTATGGCAACTTTGCAGCTTTGTGCTGAAAACTTTGTTTGGCTTATTTTTCGGTTACAAATCACATCCGAAATCGCATTAAAATTGCATGCAACAGAAAAAGTGCCACAAAATCGCGTTGTCAGAAGCCAGAAATCAGCCAGGCGCTCAGCATGTTGCCAAAGGTGTTGCAGCTGTGTTACCTGCCTCGGCTTATGGCCGTCAACCCCATCCAGCTCGAAACCCGCAACTCTCGCCAGCTGCTGTTTATCCAACATTTGCCAGAGGGAGGGACAGATGGGGAGGGAGTGGCAGGCAGTGCCCCCTTTGCAATTTCAATCGAATGTTCGTGAGACGAAATCACTTCAACGCCTTCGATTTCAATTTCCGCCGCATTTCCAATTTGAGTTTTGTTATTGCATTTGCATTTGTATTGTATTGTTGTTGTTGTTGCTGTTGCTGTTGCCTTTACTTTATTGCCATTCGATTGTTTTGTACCTAAAGTTGTCATCCTCGATTCAGTTGCAATTATTTACGAGTTCCAGGTTTGGCCTACTTTGGCCACTTGGCTGGCAAGTAAATAGTTTCAATTGTTGCAATCTACCTAGTTCCAGCTCATGTCTATTCATATGCAGACTAAATTGTACAGCTATGTCTACTAGTTTGTGTCAATAACTAAGTTGCAGATGCAGTTAGCTTAGCACTCGAATAGATTCTCAGAATTTAGCAGAACCCTTATCAATTTACAGCTCTGCAGTTGGCTGAGCATTTCCGAACTGAAATTTCGATTCATATTCTATTTTTTTCAAAGATTGAAATTTAACTGAAAATCAATTGATGAAAATTACAAAACTACTATCTACTTAGCTGATTTCTCTAGTCCACCCTTCGGCTTTTTATTCCTCTTCTTATTCATTCAGTCATATCATTTTTTAAGATCAAGCGAAATAGTCGGATTTTCTGCTTTGGATAATCCAATGTAGTGCAGTTTTGTTTTCGCTTAGCTCTTAGTTCATACACTCTCCGAGTTTGTAGCTTTCCCTTTGTCAACTCTTCGTTTCCTTTTGCGCCTTCAGGTATTTCCTGCTCCACTTTATGCTCTGTCAGCCTCTTTTTTGCTGTCAACTTAAGAATTGGACACGCACTCGGCATATCTTGAGCGAGTTGCTCGCTTTGCATTTTTTGCTGCATACCTGCAGGCCGTCCGCATTTAATGAAGCCAGCCTCAGTCTCTCCGTAGGATATTATGCACACAGAGTGTATCTGTGTGTGTGTGTCTGTGTTGGGTAATAGTAGCAGCAGGCGCACCCACTACGAAGGGGCGTGTCCATGTGGCTCTCAGTTGATATTGAGATCAAAGGAACTCTGCTGGGTGGCCCACTACGGCATTGAGGCATCAATAACACATTTGTATTACATATCACAATCAATAGCAGACACGTGTCTAAGCATCGAGAATGCTGTCCTCCTATACCTCAGTGCGCGCGTGTGTGTGTGTGTGTGTGTGTGTGGGCAGGAGTCGAGCCTAAGCTTCGTTACATGTCATTGTAATGGTATCACGCTACAGCAGATTGCTGTTTACCTTGATTTACATAAGCACAAACAGAGACACACCTGCTGTGGGGCGTGGGCATGGGACAGCCGCAGCAGTGCAAACAAACTGTTCAGTCGCAGTCAGTGGTGCAGCGGTGGTGCTCAGCGGTGCCAGCAACGACGTAAGTATACCTATACACTTAAGCATGCACTTAGACTTTGCGCCTTTTACTTCGGCTCGTGTCGATGTTGACATCGATGTCTATGCATGGGCGTGAATAAGCACATTGTTCATATGTGTGCGTGAGTGTGTGGTATGTCTGTGGCGTATGTGTGTATGTGCGTGTGTGTGTGTGTGCGATAAATGCAAATTTGTTTGCCAGCTGACGCCTTGGCACACATACACACACACACACACACACACACACACACACACACATATATTATATACACAACAGCAGCAAAATGAACCAACGCCCGCTGACGAGTATTTTGTTAACAGTTTTTCCATTTTCTTTATTTTGCTCTTTTCTTTTGCCACCCACCAAGCAAATAGAGCTATTTGCATGCGCACCTAAATCGATTTGTATGTGTATCAAATTGTGGGCGCTCCAGAAACAATAAACTGCCTCAGCGCAGCTGTTGCGGCCCAAATCAGCCAGAAGGCTGACACTAACTTCGCCTGGGGCAAAGTGCAGCAAGCATTAAACTGTATTCAGCCAAAAAGTTTCACCTGTTTACGTTTGACTTGTTTCAAATTACAAACTTGATCTGCATAGAGCCGACATATGGCTAACTACTTATGAAATTTTATACACAAAACTTTTATTTCAGTTCCGGCAAATTAAATTGAATTTTACAAATGTATAGAAAAACTAATATTTCTATATAGAAATTGTATATAATAANACAAAATTTACGCGCCCACAAAAGACAAGGAAAGGAAAGAAGCCCTGACGCCAAAACAATGACGCTATCGCCCCCCCTCTCTTGCACCACCGAATTATACCGCTTGGGAATTCCACGAACCGCCGCGCAGTAAGTCTCTGGTAGTTTTTTTGAGGTCGCTGGGTACGCCGCGCCCACAGCAAACACGTTGACTTCAGTTCTTTCCACTTTCGCAGGGGAAAACACAGTTCAAGCTATTGTCTACGATGGATCACGATGACATCGACCGCACTCCGTGAAAACGCAACTCGAACTCGTCGTGTGTGTGTGTGTGTGTGTGTGTGTGTGTGTGTGCGTGTTTCCTGTGTAAGCTGAAAGACGCGAAAAATTATTGAAATAGCTAGCACTCCAAGGGTTCAGGGGATCTCGTAGTCGAGCAGTCTCGACTAGAGCTTTCTTACTTGTTTATTTTTTAATTATTATACCTGTATACATTATAGAATAACTTCATATATTTGCATATTACAACAATGAGAAGTCAATAAAGCTAGTTTCAAGTTGATCAAACTTCGAGCCAAGTTAACAGGCAATATCTGCCAGCTTTGTTAACCTTGACTTTTGAGACATTACAAAGTCGAAATGTGTTGACTGAGTGGGCATATCAATTATGGATCTAACACCCTGGCTTGTAATCGAAGCTTAGCACACAAAACAAGCAAATGAACGGCTGTTTAGCCGTTGGGCTGCTGCGGTGAGTGCTGAGGCGGGTGCGGGGTATTGGCTGTTGAGTCTAGCAGCTAACCGAGCTAACCGCAAAGTCCCATAATTAAAGACTGGCAGAGCAGACCGAAATTTGTCGCCAATTTAATTAAAACCCATTTTTTGGACTTGCTGTTTATGTTGTCAGCAGGCTGAGCCAGAAGCGAAGGCGTGGCTGCTGGATGCTGGCAAACGGAGCGTAAGCCGCTTTGGGAACCCATCGTACGCACACCAACACACACCTACACATGCACATACACACAGGCACACGCATGTTGCCTGTTGACCCTGGCAAAGGATTTGCATTTGTTTGTATCCGTGGTCCTCATGCGCGGAACAATTACGCAGAGTGCGTGGTCAAATGGACTGAACCGTGGATTGTGGGCGGCAGCGTGGGCGTGGGCGTGGGCGGGACTGGCCAGCAATTGCTGCGGTTCCATGCAAATTCAGGCGCTATCCCCGCGTTGCGTACCATGGGCTCCCTTTGCACTCCATTGTTTGCGTAATTCGATAAATTGACGTTACGATGGCCTCCAATGGGAGGGGTGGGGGGTGGCTCAAGCCCCGTTGCCCATTTTAATAATTTTTAATTAGCTGCCGCTGGCTGACAACGCCCCGACGGCTATTGCAAAATTGGTTTTTAATTAAGTTTATTTCGAATCGTGGATTCGGGATCCAGCTAAGCCTAATGAATTCGATTGTTGTGCCACGCATTTCTCCAAACCTTGTTCAGGATATATGTGTATACTGATAACTGCTGAAATATATTTATATTAAATATAGTCCAATTAATTATGAGGTAATTAAAATTTATTCAAAATGAAATTTGTATTTTAAATAAATCGCTTTCCAAATTGTTAAAAATCAAGAGATGAACAGCCGGCAGCATGCCCCATAGACAAAGTTTTTAAATTCATTTAAATTGGAATTCATTTAAAATAAATAATTTGTATTATTTAAATGACTACGAAGACATTTTTTACTTTCATTTGCGCAAAGCTTTTAAAAATAATTCAAGTAACTACGAGGCGTATGCGTAATAAAACGAATTATATTTCAATTGAACTTTGAAATGAAACTCAAAAACGCGCATCTTTGCATTCTTTTGCTGACATTGCCAAAATCAATCGAGAAATCTGGTCCATTCAGGCAAGAGGCTGACTTGGTGGAGCCACTGTTGGAGTCCAGTACCACTCGGAGTAGGGCACACAGGCCTTGACATCATCCAGCCAGGCCTGGGCAATGGGGCAGTAGGCCGGCGAGGCAGGCACGCCCAGCACCTGGCATACCCAGTACTGGTTCTTGCGGTAGTAGTGGCGATAGGCGCCCACAGCCAGCTCCTCCTCCGTCTGGCAGCCCGGCTGGCCGGAGGGCTTGCCCCAGGGGCTGGCGAGGCAGCAGCTGGCCAGAGCCAGGCACACAGCGAACAGATACAGCGAGTTCATGTTTGAAGGAGTTTGTTTCGAAGACTGACCTATGCTAATGCCCAGGCGTTGCTTTTATAGCACAAGAATCTGCGTGTTATCTTATCAAAACAACGGAACTAATCGCGAAGTTAGTGTGGCGCGATGCTGTAAACAGATATGACGGAGCCACCCAGAGCCCGTTGCCATTTGGCTGCCCAGTTTATGGATCTGTTTGTGTGTGCACAGCGTTTGTTATTGTTTTTGCATAGGGCTCAGCGGGCGAAAAAAGGGCGGGGCAGAGCCACTGTCGACGGACCACCCACTCGAGGTGCTTGCATATTCATGACATAAGCATGGCTGCTGTAAATTATTTCCAGAGATAGCCCGGGCAAGCCACAAACAAGCGGAGCAACAGCTAATTAATTCCGAGCGCTGCCTTTGAGGCATTTCTGGTCGCAGGCCAACGAGAAATGTTCACCTTGCAAACGGACGGACGAAGATGCTAAGGAGGGAGAGGAGCGAGAGAAGCGAGAGGACCAAGAGCGGCATCGACACTTTTCGACTAGCTTTTTTGGGCCGCCTTAAGCCATATTAGGACCTACACACTCTTGAGTAATTGCCCTTGCCAATGCACTGGGGCTGCAGTCGAGCCTCGGCCTCCTGGCTGGCTGCTCTGCTTGGGTGGCGCATTTCGCCTGGCTTTGTTTGCTCTTGGCCATAAATTAAATCAGGTTATTAATGTCTGCCATTAAATGAAGCTACAGGCAGCACAGCGACAACAACAACGACATCTGTGGCACGGGCATTGCAAACGCTTTGTGTTATCCTTGCCAGGCCGCCGTGCTTTGCCATCCTTCGGAGCGGCTTTCGTTGATTTATGCTAATTTGTGTGGAATTTCGAGCATTTCGAAGTTATTTCTAGATTTTCGTACATAAGCGTGCAATTTGTATGCACTTTTGTCTTCAAAGTGAACGCACGCAGAAAATCCCAGCAGGAAGATGAATACTTTACTCTCTGAATTGGCCCAAGAACATATAGGAGACACATCAACTGTTGCCTCTATATTTCCTTTCCCTCTCTTTATGCCTGTCCCAATGGCTGCATATCTCTCTCTCTCTCTCTGTTTCTCCCCTAGCTCAACCTATCCCACACACATGTAATCTACCTCTGGCGTTTCCTCTTTTTTTCCTCTTTTTTTTATAGCTCTCTCTGTCTGTCTATCACTCGTTCTCTCTGTCTCGCTCTCAATTTGTATCTCCCTATATCTCTAAATCTATCTATCTCGCCCTCTCTTTTTATTTTCCGCTCTCCATTTCCATCTCTCTATAAATGTCTCGTACTTTCTCTTTCTCTCTCTCTCTCTCTCTCTTTCTCTCTTTCTCTCTCTCTCTTTCTCTCTATCTCTCTCTCTCTCTCTCTCTCTCTCTCTCTCTATCTGCCTCTCTACGTCTGTCTCGCTGCCTTACTTTCCTTTTGCCTACTCCCTGCCCTCTCCAGTTTCTCCTTTTCCTCTCTAACTATGTCGGTATATACATATATCTCTCTCTCTCTCTCCTAATTCTTTCATTTTCACTTCCTCCTTCTTTCCTACCTCTTCATATCTTACGCTTCAAATATCTGCTTGTTTAATAATTAAGTTCTGAATCGTATATCGCCTACACGAGCATCCTTAACACCTTTTCGCTATATTGACTCCCTGTAAATAGGGCAATTTCATTCAATCGTTTCACACCGTTGCTGTCTTTGAAGTCGAAGCCGTGTTATAATTGAATACAAATACAAAGTAATCTGTTTTTCATCGCACACAAATGATGCAATTACAATTTGCGAACGACGATTACACGTGTGCGATATGGATTGTGGCACTCCGTTCGTTAACATGCAAATGTCAGTCATATTTTCTTCCTTTTTTGCAGTTTTCCACATGCACGCATACAAAAATGAACACGCTGATAAAACAAAAATTATAACTGGAAAAAAACCTACAGTTTGAGGCTATAGCAAAAATGTGTTTGCAGCTCGTTTTATTGATGTGCTCGATTCTGCATTGACAAAGGGCCTGACGCACAACCGTTGGAATATAAAATAAAATTGGTATAAAAAATGCAAAAAAAAAAAATGGGTTTTTTTTTTTTTTTTTGTAAGCCCAAAGCCAGTGCCGTGTGAAGTGGAATTGGAAATGTAACTGGACCGGTTTGCCAAATACACCAATATTGATTTATGACAGATGTTTTTGGAGGCGTCCAACATGAAGTTTAATTTCGCTGTCTAAAGCTATCAACACTTTTAAGGGGTGTCATTTAATTGCAATGGAACACGTCAAGAATCAGTTGCCAACATTGTTGGCAACATTGTTGCGTGCACTGCGCGAAATACGCAGCAACTCTTGCTATCTGAGTCATCTGCCAGCCAACGAGACGTCCCTTTCCCGATAGCTTATCGCGCCATTTCATCTAAATCTTTGAACACGATCAGATAAACACTTGTTTAGCGGCAGTTGACTTTCCTCACTGATAACGACGTTAAGTAGTTCAATAAACGAGGAACACACATTATAAAGCTCTTTGAGTGCAGCGGATATAGCATCGGAAACGCACTATTATATGTCATATATCTTGGGTTACTCAACTATGATTAGACTTGAGTAGATATTAATTTATATTATTATATTTTTTGTAAGATGTACTCTTCACATTATCTTAACAAAAGTTTGAAGTGAGAATAATCATAGAGATTTCTAGATTCTACTCCGCTTAAAGATAAAATCTAGATTGTACTGAGATTGTATAAAGATCGTGCTAAGTCTCAACTATGTATTTACTCTTTTTAAGTGGTTCTCGGGAAATGTAGATAAATAAATTTATAAAGCTCGATAATCCAAGCATATCACATATCACAAGATTAATTTCAAGTAACTGTAATATATGCTTGATAAGAATCTTTATATTTATATATATATATAGATATGTATATCTTTTTTTATAACTTTTTTAAGTACATATACACTATTAGCTTTGAAGAAATATTTTATATTGTTAATAATTCACTAAACAAAATTTCTTGAATATTTTCATACCTGCTTCTCAAATATTTCAAACTACCAATTCCATCAAATATAAAAGTTGAATTTTCAGTATGAATTGTCTTTTTATTCCATATCTGTGCAATCATAATTTTATCTTAATTACATGGCTGCCAGCCAGTTGGACGACTTGGTGGCTCCACGCAGGGCCTCCAGACCCAATCGATCCAGGGCACGCACGCATTTCTCTCCTGGCTGAAGGCCGTGTTCGTCTGGCACTTGAAGAGTTCGGCCTTCCCATTCAGGGTGGGGCACCTCCAGTACTTGGTGGGATCGATGCAATTGCGCTGTGGGTAGCCCACCTCAGATGCCAGCTTGCAGCCAGGCTCATAGGTATCAATGCATTGCCCAAGCACAGTCGAGGCCAAGCAGAGGCACGCGGCCAAGGCCAATAGGATTCCTAATTTGAGCAAATGGCAAACACTTAGTTAGCGTGATGGCAATGGATGGCTGGTCTTACCTGAAAATCGCATTATGGATAATGTCACTATCTGATAGCAACTGTCGATGCTTGGGCTGTGGCCCAGCTGCTTTTATACTCAGCTTAAGTGGTGCATGGAGAGTGCAGTTCATTGTACTATGCTGAAGCGCTTATTTGTATGTGCAGTCGATTGTCCATACGCATATCTCTCAAGTGCCGGAGTCAAGGTGACGATTTCTTTCAGTGCTCTCTCTGCCTGATTGTTTTTCCCACAACAAATGATTCGATAATGCCCCCTCGTGTGAGCTGCTGTCCAGCATATAGCATGCAACTCACGCATTCTGCAATGGCTGAGAAGACAACAGAAAAAAAGAAAATAATACAAATCCCTTTACTGCGTTTGCCACGAGAAATCCGAGCTTTCACAACAAGTGCCAGAGGAGCGACAGTTTCACAGAAAATCGTTGCCCTCACCAACTTTGTTGGACATGACAAATCCATTCCTTCGACCCCATCCATACAAGTCAATTGTGATGCACTCCAATCGCATCGAAATGAATTTCAAAATCATTAAATCATAGCTTGAGCTTTTTCAACGAAAAGTTTACTTTAGAGCAGTGCTTAGTTTAAATAAGCATATTCTTTCAAATTAACAACAAGCTCTGAGACTGACATCCCATCTGACTTGTTATTTCAATCTCTTTTTCTGCAACTATTACGCTTTTGTCTAGAAAATTGCCTGCCACTCACGCACTTAAATTGCCAAGCTCAAAGTGAATTTCTGGCTTAAAGAACGGTCAGCGTAAGACTCTGCCACATGCCCCAATCAGTTGCACAACGTTGAGAGAACGTACATATGTCCGAATACGTGAAAAACTTCATTTGGGGCAAGCGCAGCACAAAAACGAACGGACAAAGCATTGCCCGTGGCCAATTTTCTAAGACATTTGAAATGCATTTCCGTTTACCCACAAAAGCCAATCACGTATGTATGAAGGCCAAAATGAAATAATGAAAGATGCTGTTTCTAGTTAAATTTTAAACACGACTCATACTCTAGTATCAGCATTTTTAATTCCATACACTATATGTTCCATGGCGAATTAATAAAATAAAAAAAATCCACTTCAGAAGTTAAGTTGATATTTGTTCTCGCGCCATATTTTAAATAAGGAGTAGAGATGCCAGACTGCCAACGATTTTGTAAACAAAGCAAACAGCGTTGCCAAATGTTGAATTTGACAGGGCTGCAATAAGCTGCTGATACTGTGGAATTAACATCTGTGCGCACAGTTCGAGTCACTTGAAGTTAGCTGCGCTCTAAAAAAGTATTGATATCGTCTATCGATAAGGAAATAGTGGCAGCGAGAGAAAAATAAAAATTCCGCAACAACAACACACAAATTGAAGTGTAGTGAAGAATTAAATCTAATTATAACAAGCAACGGGCAAGCATTAAGAGCACGCATACACACCAACCCACATAAACAAGACTAGTTAATTAGTGGAACAAAACTTGACAATATTTGGACACAACAACACAATTGCAAACGGGCAGGGCAGTGCGGTGGTGACAGCGACAGCGGCAGCGGCAGCAGCAGCGGTAGTCGCAACGATAGCGGCAGCGGCAGGTAGTAGCCCAAACACTTGCGTCTGAGTGGGGCGCGCGCGCGGCATGGGTTGAGGCGTATATGCATATATATGTGTGTGTGTGTGTTGTGTGTCAGTGTGTGCGGGTGTGATGCAAAGAACAGCAGTGACGGCAACAACAATAAGCGGCGCGTATAACTAAACCGAACGCCTACGTAATGGCCAACCAACTGGATGCCAATGTCAAGGACGATCTGAAAACGCAATTTGTTACCCGAGAGGGCACCTATCGCCTGCTCACCCTTTCCGAATACTCGCGACCCAATCGCGTCGGCTACAGCAACAATCAAAGCTCGCCCCAGGTGCGCGTATCATTTGTGACGTTACCGAATCCCAGCAGTAAAAACAATAGCGAAGCGAATGTGGCGGCACCGCAAACAGCAGCAGGAACTCCAACAACGTCGACATCGAGTGATAAGCGCACGCAATTGAATTCAAATGGCGCAACAACATCAACAACAACAACAACACCTGCAACACCAACAACAACGGCAACAACAGCCATTAGTACATTGAATGGCGGCGGCGCCGGCGGCGACAGCAACTACAATGGCGGCAGCAGCAGCACCGTGGATACCCGCCTGGGCGGCGGTATATCCATGCACTCGATGACCAATGGCGGCGTGCTGGACCAAAACGGATTGCCCACAAATCAAATCTATGGTGGAGATCGCATCTGTTTCAATTTTGGACGCGACCTCTATGTGTATGCGTTCCGTGGCGTTAAAAAGGTGAGCAAAGGTGGTTTTGGGTTTTTTATGAACATACTGAAGCGCACCTGTAGACACGGACTTCCTCTCCCCTCTCTCTCCCCATGCAAGTGACGTGGCCAGTCTCTTCTCGTAGATCTTTCAAGCCGTTTGTTATCAAAAGTGCATGCTGATAAGCAGAGCACTGCACTGCACACACCGACTTCGCCCCTTAGCTCTGCTCATGTAATAGTGCCTCGTCGCAACGTTGCCGCCCCCGCAGCAATTGGCAGTGCCCACTTAGTTAGAACTGCGGCCCCCGTCTGTCACTCCGGCTCACGTTCCGGCAAATCGTATCCAGTTTCCTCATGGCATACCAAAACGCTACCCCAAACACAATCGCTTAATTTGTTCCAATTCTCGCAGCGTTTGTTATTTAGCTATTGTTATTGTTGTTGTTGTTGATCAATTCGTTTGCTTAGCTTTTATTTAAATGTGTTTATTGCGCTCGAAGGCAGCTTTTTCCACTGCAAATCATCCAACTTGGCAGTTTTTTATGTTTGTTCTTTAGGCATACCCTAACGAGCGTGGAGTATCTCTCTCTTATATATGTCATGAATTGAAATAAATTTGTAAATATTTATTCAGATTTAATTTTTATTGAAAGTATTTCGAGGTAGTCAAATATTAATTATAGCTATAAATGTAATATTGTATGCAGCCAAATTGCAAGGTAGAGCCTGTGCTAATGTACATTATTAGTTTAAGTGTATTCAATATTCGAATGCGTTACAATAATTGCATTCCTTATTTGCCAAGCAGCTGTTTTGTACTCTGAGTTATTTCAACTGCAAAAGCTTGCATTCGCACACGGTTTTGCTATAAACTTGTTTAGGTCTTCATTTGGTTAGTTTCGTATTCTGAATCATTCCCATCAGGTGCTCAACAGAAAGTCTGAACAAGCCGCTAATTTCCACAAAGCTATCAAAATCGATGCTAATTGGTGTACCTTATGATCGGGAAAAAAAATAGGCGCAAAGAGTTTGTTTGGCTTGGCAAAGTCTGTTCTATTTATATTTCTTGAGTAAGCTTCCAATCTAAATTTAGAAGAACGATAATCCTGTTGATTCACTATTGCGAAATGATCGTTCAGTAATTGTGCAAAAATCCTAAAATGTAGCTAGAAAGTTATTTTATGGCACGCCACAAATACCCGCCTATGCTTGGATCAAAGAGATGACTGACTAAGTTTATTTTATTGTTATTGGCTTTGCAGGGCACCGAGATGAGCAAACCCATCGATAAGAAGTTCTACAAGGGCACAAATCCCAGCTGTCACGATTTTAATGCCAATGCAGCCACGCCCTCTGGTGCACCGCTGCTGGTTGGTTTCACAACGGGACAAATACAGCTGGTATCACCGCAGCAAGGGCCACGCGAGCTACGCAAACTATTTAACGAGGAGGTAAGCGAGAAGATCAAACAGTTACACAATTTGCCCACATACTGAGTAAATCATTTCACTTGTATAGCGCCTGATTGATAAGACCAAAGTGACCTGCCTGAAGTGGCTGCCCAATTCGCCGCATCTGTTTCTCGCCTCGCACGCCTCGGGACACTTGTATCTGTATAATGAGGAGCTGCCCTGTGCGGCCACAGCGCCTAGCTATCAGCCATTTAAAGTGGGCGACGGCTATACGATACTCACCTGCAAGTCCAAATCGACGCGCAATCCTCTGTATAAGTGGGTCTTCAGCACCGACAACTGCTGCATCAATGAGCTGTGCTTCTCGCCTTGCGGCTCGAATCTGGCGCTCGTCTCACAGGATGGCTTCTTGCGAGTCTTTCACTATGATACCATGGAGCTGCTGGGTATTGCGCGCTCTTATTTTGGTGGCTTCCTCTGTGTCTGCTGGTCACCCGATGGCAAATATATTGTTGTTGGCGGCGAGGATGATCTGGTGACGGTGTGGTCGCTGCACGAGCGACGAGTTGTGGCGCGAGGCCAGGGCCATCGTTCCTGGGTTTCTGTAGTGGCCTTCGATCCCTATACCACCTCCTACACGAACTGGGATGGAGGTGATTTCAGTGATGATGAAAATCAGCTGAATGAATACACTGCTTCGAGGGAGGATCGGTTCTCTGGCGATTCAACGGCCAATGGTGGCTTCGAAGGCTTCGATAAGAACTCAACGCCGTTACACACGAATCGAACCCGTACACACTCGGCTTCGTTTCGTTCGGATGCCTCATCGGCGGCGCTGGCGCCGGACAAGCTGGCCATTAGCTATCGCCTCGGCTCGGTTAGTCAGGATACGCAAATCTGCCTGTGGGATATCACGGAGGATGTGCTGCGGCACCCCTTGACGATGCGCCAGCGCGTAAATAGCACGCAGCTGAACGACAGCAGCTTCCTGAATGGCGGCCTCGATGCGGATGGCATCAAAGTGATACGACCCGTGGCCATGGGCCAGCCAAGCAACTTTGCCGACTCCAGCAGCTGTAGCCCTATTAGGGAAGCAGCTGGCAGTGGAGTTGCCGGTGCGACAGAGCATAGCAATAGCAGTTCTAGTAAATTCTCCACGGCCAACTGCACGATATCCTCGCAATCATCCAATGCCAACACGCCGCCAGACGAAAGCTGTGACACGGAGACGGCAACACCTGCAGCAGCTACTGCCGCGAACACCACATCCTCATCCAAAGCGAACAGCCGGTCACATGGCAATAGCAACTCGATCAAGTTTCCCAACTGCATCAGTGCGACTAAGTCGGACAGCATTGACAGCAGTGGCCCACGCGTTAGCAACTCCAATTACTCCACATCTGGCTATAATAGCAAAAATTCCAATAGCTCTACCAAATCCAATTCCAATGCGGGCTCCAGCAGCAGCTTCAGCGCCTTCAATAGTCTCACCCAGCGTTTGACAAATTTCAGTTTCTTGAGCAACTCGGACAAACGCTCGTCAGGCATTGGCTATGAAGGCAGCGGATCGACGGCTGCGAATCATCGACAGCATCGCAAAGCAATGAGCATGCTAAAGAGCTATAATCAACATAACCACAGTAACCACAGCAACAACAACAGGAGCAGTAATAACAACAGCAGTTCCACAAGCATCGCGCATTCGACAGCGGTGGAGTCGGGAAGTGGCGCAGCCATTGGTAGCAGTGCAACGGCGCATAGCTTTGGCTCACTGAAGCTAAGCAAATCCTCGCACAACTCTTCACTGGCCACGGCTGGACAGTCGTCGACCAGTGTGAGTAGCTATGATCCCATGAAACTCATAGGTACGCCCGCCTGTCCCAGGTTCGAAGAGTGTCCGCTCCTGGAGCCGCTCATTTGCAAGAAGATTGCGCACGAGCGCCTCACGGCGCTCATATTTCGAGAGGATTGCTTTTTAACGGCATGCCAGGATGGGTTTATTTATACATGGGCGCGGCCAGGACACAGTACGGTAAGTGGACACGGCTTCAGTTTCAGCTTATCTCTCTGAACTCTTCTAAAATTAATCCCTTTTCCCCACAGCACGTTGCTCAACACATGTCGCCCAGTCAAACAACGCCTACGGGTGGCACGGTAATATAGTTCGTTAAAATGGATGCGATCAACTATCAGCGTAATCTTGTCAAGCAGCAGGAGGCGGCACAGTCGGTGATTTAGGTTAGAGCTAGCGATTGATTTCAAATTATATTTCCCGTTAGGAAGAGTTTTAAATTGTTTATCAATATTCCCATATTATTATTATTATTTTTTTTTTTTTAATTACGTTTGTTGCACCTTTTTTGTATTCCAATTTAAAATCAACACACATGAAATATTTATAATGAAAAATGAATAAAAAAAAAAAAAGAATATATACGAGATATACATAGTTATGTAAAACATAACTACGATTTATATGCAACAGCAGCAGGCAACAGAACAAAAACAAACATTTATATAAATACAATATGAAATGTATGAAAACATTTACATATATAAATATTGATCTATATATTTAAATTTGAATTATGATTAGTTGTAAATGTATTATTTTTAATACGTGGAATTTGTTAAAAACAAAGCAAAGCATGTTTATAACTATTTACTAAGCGCTAGCATAATACACGATACACATTAATAAAAAAAAACAACCAAACAGAAACAAACACACAGAAAATCAACTAAACACATTTTGCATTAGTCAACTTTAAAGAAAATCATTCAAAGGAAAAACCCTCGAAATGGAAGCTAAGCTAGCGAATTTGTACGCAAAAGTTTTTCACTCTTGCGCTATGGTACTGAGTTGCAATTGAGGCCCCAACTAACGAACTACTTATACTATATAAATATAAAATCAAGCAGAATACTAATTAGTATGCATTATTACTAAATGAAAGCAAAACGAGTAAAAACGAATACTAATACCTAATGTAGGAACTGTTATCGTTATTATGATTATTATAATTATTTTTCACGCTATTCGAGTGCAAAAGTCAGCCACACACATAATAACTAAAATAAACAAAGTGCATAAGCATTAAAAATAAAATACAAAAACACACCCAACAAACTAGATCTAATTCAAAACAAACAAAACATAATTTCATACTGGCCTATATTTTATAAAAAAAAAAAAAATTAAAATAAAATAAAAACGAATCGTTATGCGTATGAAACTAGTAAAAAAATTCTAAGAGCAGATCAAGAGAACATTACATAGTCTATAAGTAAAACAGTTAGAAAAAGTGAGAACAAAGAGATGATTGAAAGAGTAAAGAGTAAGAAATACCAAGTAAAAAAGAAAAAGAAAAACAAGCAAACAACCAACCAACCAACACGTTACAGTAATAAAGACTAAAAATTTCAATAAAAACTATATACTATACATATAAAAAAGAAAAAAAAAAAAACAATTAAAAATACACAAAAGCTTGTTTCAATGACAAAAAATTTGTTTATTTTATGCGACAGACGATCGATGATACTTAGAAATTTCCGAATATCATATTTCAGATGGTCTTTCAGACTGGATGTAAAAATAAGTTATATAGTATCTTATATACAAGATTAGTCTGAAAATTTGCCATTCATATTCAAAAGGTAGAAAAAAGAAAATACCACATTTGCATTTCAATAGTTTTCATACTATTCTATAGCCATAATATTCTCATTTTCAAGCATTGTTTATTTAGGTATAAAATGTGTTAATTTTGTTAATAACAAAAATATGTATATGCATCACCTATTGCAAATCTCAATCGGATGTTTCGCGAACTTTAAGTAACGTATTTCTAACCACATAAGCTACTAAGATTTTAACATTTTGGAAATGATTTTTCATTGGCGATTTGAAAACATTCTAGCACACCATCAATTTTGAAAGCGTGTGTACACTGCGCACATACACCCACGTGTGTGTGTGCGTGCGTACCTGTTACCTGTTTTCGTTGCCCCAATCAATGAAATGAGTTTCGTAAAAATTAAACTAAAGATTTTTATAGCGCTTTAAGCGTTGCCAATGGATCCACACCCGGCAAGTACAAATGCTTCGATAGCAGAAAAGCGAACAATATCTGACCAGCAACTACAAGGAATAGGAAGTAAAGCTTCCTCTTCCGGCCACCGCTATAATCGAACTGCTGTGGATTCCCATACGGATCGTAATTGATGGCACCGCTGGACGCAGTTGGCGTGTTGTCCTGCAACAGTTTTGTTCGCAACGTTCGTAGCTGTAAGACAGTTACAATTAATTATTTCTAATATTCCTTTCGTGTTGACCTTCGTGCTCACCAGAAAGAAGCCAAAGGAGAAGCTGGTATATGCCAACGCTATATAGTAACCGGATCGAAAGAAGAGCGTGCTCATCAGCAGGCAGACGACAATATTTACATATTTATAGCCCGTAAATGCCAGCAAGTCCAAAGTCTTAAGACTCGTCTTCACATTCATCACGTACAGCGATATGGAGTAGATGACCAATTCGAAAATGCTATATGCCATCGCACTGGATGCCTGTATGCCTAGTTGCTCGGGCGAGAACCGATTCTGCATGCCCAGCAATAAGCCGGCAACAATTACATATGTTATGTAGCCCATCGTTGGCAGATAAAGATCTGGCGCGTTTATATCATAACGTGGCTGCACAGGATGCTCCTGATCGTATTTCAGTGACCAATCCTATAAGGGGAAAAACGTTTATACAGTTCATAATAGCCTAATGTAACATATTTCTACATTTAAGTTCAATTTGTGCCAATCCTTTAAAATTTATATTTTTCTCAGCCAGCTTACCTTGTGTATATAAGGAAAGAACAGCAATCGTAACTTGCGTCCCACATAGGCATTATCTACTGCGAAGTAGTACTTCAATTTGGCGACCGGCACCCATTTCTCAAACTGATTCTCCACAAGTTGTTTGCCTTGATCGGCCAGTCGCTGGCCATACTGCATCGCCATGTCCTGTACGATGGGCTGCTGGAACATGGAAAACTGTGGATATTGACCACCAGGTGCAGAGCCGGCAGCACCTCCAAACGCTGGTGACTGCGGTCCACCCATGCCAAAAGCGGGCTGCCCTGATGGCGCATTTGGCATTGTTTGCTGCCCCGGCGTATATCCATAGTTTTGCTGCTGTGGCTGTTGTGCCGACGCCGCTTGCGTTGGCGCTGCATTGTAACCGTAGCTATTTACTTGCTGTGGAGCTGGACCGCCGTACATGTTGGGATCGAACATGGTGGGTGCTGCCGTTGGCGTCATGAAAGCCGAACCACTGGGCATCGGAGCCGTCGGGCCCATTGCATTTAAATCGCTCACCCGTTTAACGGGACGAACCCGTCCGCCACCTTGAGCTATTTTTGGAATACAGAACAGCCGTTAAATTCTGTTGATTCAGCATCCCAATTATTGTGATAGATTCGCAAGTGTTAGGAGGGAAAAGGAAAAAATCAAGCTACAGACGCAGTAAACAAACTAAAAACGCAACATAATTATTAGTGCAAACTATAGAAATAACTTTTGAACGATTCAACAATTAACTACGAGAGGCAACTAAATAACCGCCAGCTGCAGCTTTTTGTATTTGCGGCAGTCTCCGCCGCCGCCGCTACGGCAACAACAACAATAGCTGCCTTCGTGGTATATACTTGCGTAGCTATAGCTTGTTCCTTACAGTTTTCCCACTTACGATTCCGCATACCCGCATTTGGATTGTAGTTCATGTTGTTTGTGTGAGTCCCTGTCCCTTGCTGTGTTGTTTTGTTGCCTAATTAGCTCTGTTTTTATTTGAAATATCACCAAAACTTTGGTTATTACACATCACCACTCGGATGAAACTCGATAGGTACACGATGGGTTTGTTGTTAAAACATCGATAAATTACGGTGCATAAATATCGAATATAATATTTTAATGAGCACAATCATTTTACTTTGCACTTTTAATATGATAGCTCAATTAACAATTGATATCAATTAATTATTCAATTTTATAGTTTAACGACATAGTCAAAAATAGTTTTCTTAAAAAATATTGTATTAACTTTCACTTATTCTTAATTTCCCATGTTCTAAAATTGAACGTGTCATGCCATCATGACTTCTATAACTTACAGCACTGCCAACTCTAGTATGAGCTGCATACAATTGTTATCGTCTATCGGCCACCTAATCGTGGCTTTGTCGGACTTGTGCCTAGTTTTGTTTTTATTTAATAAATATATAATTTTGAAGTATTTTGTGAATAATTTATAATCAATTGGTTAGTGTTCATGAAAAGTGATTACCAATGGAACTTAAAGACTAATATTATGCATGAAATAGTGTCTTAAACACCCTATAAATGAGTGGCTCTAAATTTAAGGTGTGGTTGGGTCTGAGCTGTTTGACTAAGCGTAGCTTTGATCAAATTGGGCGGCGCCGATGCATAATTTATGAAGACTGAATTTATCAAATTTAATTAATAATATAGATAAACACTATTTTTATTCAGCTAAAACATTTAACAACAAAAACTAATCCGTTTCATTAATTGTTTTGTAATGAAGCACATAAACAAGCTCAAGACCACGCCTAATGTAAGACACCCACACGTACACACACACACAGGCACACGCCTATGATCATGTAAAGTGGAAACTCAATTAAAGGGAGAATAACTTAAATTCATGAATGCATTCAATTCAGAACTTGAACCTTACCAATTTGTATATTTTATATAATATTATTTTCTAAATTGCAAAAGTCAAAAGTAAAAACCATGTTTGGCCATTCAATACACATTCTATTGTACGTCTAGGTATGTGTCATGTGCGTGTGATCTTACTAATACAACCTTTATTCGTATGAGCAATAAGACTGATCATTTGATTTGTTTACATTCACAGTTCGTAAATTGAAAATCGCAAATAAACATTGTCTATTGTTCTGTATTTATAGAGTACGAATTTCCAACTAGAAAATGTGCCTTTAGTCTCCCACAAATAGCCAGCTGGATAAGTTCTCACGTCGAGCTGTAACTGAAAGTAAACTAAGTCACTATGTCAACAAGGAGCAGGCTAATAGTCAGCGGGCTAGTGCAATTGTTGCTGTTGGCAACGAGTAGGGGGCAACTGCCCAGTGACCTGCAACCGCAACAACAGCCACAGCTGGGCCTGCCGCCTGCACAACAAGGACAACAGCCTCAAACATATCAACCCACTTATAACAAGGACTACTCACCTCGCTATAATCCTTCGTACACGGGTCAGCAACAAAATCCGGACAGTACACCGTATGATAATCCGTTGCTGGACTTTGGCAATCAGCCAAACAATCCGAATTTCGGTGGCACTGGTCTAAACTCAAATAGCTACAATGGTTACAACAACTACGACAGCAACCGACCGATGCTGGGCGTTGGTGGCGGTGGCAACATTGTGGGGCCGGGCGGCATTTCGAATACGGGCCCGCAATATGATCCCTTCAACCGCAACAGCGTAACTAATACGATCAATTCGGGCCTGGGCTATAGGGACATGTTCACCGATGAGGATAACTTTTGTCCCGAGCATTGGATATCGTTCCGACAGACATGCTATCGCTTTATACGCTCGCCCAAGCGCAACTGGGCAGAGGCTAAGAAGATCTGCAAAGCCTACACAGCGGATTTAGTGAATGTGGACAATGTGGAGAAGCATGCGTTTATTTTAAAGCAGCTAATCATACAAAATCAACGTCAGAATCGATTCTTCATCTCAGCCCGGCAAACAGGGCCACAGAACTGGGTGAACGATGACAATACGCAATTAATACAGATTGAGGACTCCTTTGCGTTCGATGAGATGCAGGCGCTTGAAAACCAAGATCTGAACGACAATCGCTTCCTAGTACAAAATGATCTTAACAATCGCAATTTCAACAATCCCAATCAGTACTACAATGCGCTGACCGGACAAACGAATACCTTGAATCAACGCAATCAAAACAATTTGCGTGGCTTCTTTGGTAAGTATAAATGTCGATAATTAAAAATCAAAGATTTAAAACAAATCATGCTTTGCAGGTCCCAATCAGCCCTATGGAGACACTGGTTATGTGCGCGATCGCGTGGTCTACGCCTATTCGAAAAAGCGCGATCGCTGGATGTTTATGCCTGCCTACGAAATTGAACTGAATCTTTTTATTTGCGAATCCAAGGCGCTGTACAGCCCGGACAATGTCAACATAAAACTGGATGACAAACGTCCCTATACCTATGGTTTAGATATACGCGATCTGGAGCGCATTCCACGAGGCCCATACTTTGTGAAGCAACCGAATGACACAACCTTCGATGTGAACAAGAATCGTTTGATTAACGATGTATCGCTGAGCTGCTTGGCCGGCGGCTATCCAACTCCTTCCTACGAATGGTATCGTGAGGTCTATGTGAATGACACGCTAGAGTACAAACGTATTGATCCACTGGTAGAGGATCGTTACACCATATCAGGCGGCAATCTGATTATATATGATCCCAAGCAAGCGCTAGATCAGGGCGCCTATCACTGCGTTGCGCGCAATAAGTTTGGCAGCGTTCGCTCAGAGAGTGCGCATCTCAATTTCGGTTTCATCATGGAGTTTAATTTGAAACGTTCAGCGGAGTCCAGCGAGATGAACTGGGGCAAGGCCATCTTCTGTGATCCGCCGCAACATTATCCAGCCATTCGATACTACTGGGCGCGTGACTATTTCCCCAATTTTGTGGAGGAGGATCAGCGCGTGTTTGTCTCCCACGATGGTGCACTGTACTTTTCGTTTATAGAGACCGTGGATCGGGCTAATTATTCGTGTACTGTTCAGACGCTTGTCTCCGATACGGGTCGTAATGGACCCTTTTTCCCGCTGCGAGTAACGCCCAACAGCAACTATCAGACGCTGATCTTTGCCAACACCTTCCCCAAAGTCTTCCCGGAGGCTCCGATCGCTGGAGAAGAGATTCGCTTGGAGTGCATGGCATTTGGTTATCCTATACCTTCGTACAACTGGACGCGCCAAGGACAGCCGCTGCAGCGCAATGCCTACACAACGAGCTATGGTCGCGTTCTAATCATTAGGAATGCGACTACCAATGATAATGGTCAGTACACCTGCAGCATTACCAATCCTCGCAAGACGCTGGAGAAGTCAATTTATATCAACATACAAATGCGCCCTGAGTTTACCATACCACTTAAGGACATGATCAAGGACTACAACAGTGATGTAACCTTCATCTGTGAGGCCTTTGCCATACCCGATGCCAACTACACTTGGTACAAGAATGCTGAACGTCTCGATCCTTTGACCATCAATCGGGATCGGTATATAATACAAGATAATGTGCTAACCATAAAGTTCCTAGAGAAGGAGAAGGATGAGGGCATGTACCAGTGCGGCGCACAGAATCAACTGAAGACGTCCTTCAGCTCGGCTCAATTGCGTGTGCTGTCCATGAAGCCATCATTTAAGAAGCATCCACTTGAATCTGAGATCTATGCTGTATACAATGGCAATACAACTATTGTGTGTAATCCGGAGGCTGCACCACGTCCGAAATTCCAGTGGAAAAAAGATGGCCAGTTGCTTGGCTCCGGTGGTCATCGCCGTATACTGCCCAGCGGCACCCTCATCATATCGCCCACGTCTCGCGATGATGAGGGAATGTACACCTGCATTGCTTCCAATCAGGCGGGCACGGATGAGTCACATGCTCGAGTTATTGTGCTGCGTAAGTTAAATTTGTCTTGAGTTGTTAATTAACAGAATTAATTTGTTTATTTTGATAGAGGAAATTCGCTTTGTGCAGACGCCCCCGCAGCGAATTGTTTCTCGCGAACATGATCTTATCTACCTGCACTGTGAGGCTGCCTTCGATGAGCTGCTGGACATTGCCTACGTCTGGAAACGCAATGGAGAGATACTTCGAAATGATCACGATGGCACTCAGCGCATTGTATGCTAGATCTTTTCACAATTCACAAAATGTATTAACTCTGTCCAAATATTTTTGCAGATCGTCGATTGGAATAGATTGACGGTGCACAACACAACGATGCGTGACTCTGGCGATTACGAGTGTGTCGTCCAGTCAGCGGTCAATGAGATTAGCACCAAGACAAATGTCATCATTGAAGGAGCTCCTGGTGCTCCTGGTGGCGTGCAGGTGATTGAAATTGGAAAGACCAAGGCCATCATTGAGTGGGTGGATGGTGTCAACAATGGCCGGCCCATACGATACTACAACATACTAGGACGCACCAACTGGAATCGCACGTGGGTCAATGTTTCCATGCACGTGCAGGCGCGTGAGGTGGATCGTTATACATCTCGTCAACAGGCTGAGGTGACAAATCTAACGCCCTGGTCCTCATATGAATTCAGCGTGGCAGCTGTTAATGATTTGGGCATTGGCACACCATCAGCACCGTCGCCCATCTACAGCACCTACGACGATGTACCATATATTGCGCCACGCAATGTAGGCGGAGGTGGTGGCAAGATTGGGGATCTAACCATTACCTGGGATCCATTATTGCCACAGGAGCAGCACAGTCACGGCATACATTACAAGGTGTTCTGGAAACTAAAGGGTGCCTTGGAATGGGCCTCCGACATTAGAAAGAACCAAGAGAATACGGGCGTAGCCGTGGTGAACATTCCGCTCAACAACTACTACACTGAATACGAGGTGAAGGTGCAGGCTATAAACAGCATCGGCAAAGGACCTGAAAGCGAAACGGTTGTCATCTACTCTGCCGAGGATATGCCACAAGTGGCGCCACAGAAACCGTTTGCGTTAGCCTACAACTCTACTTGCTTCAACGTGTCCTGGAGCCCCATTGACATGTCTCGTGAGA